TTGGGAAGGTCCGGATCGACCACCAACACTGAACAATATTTCACTCGAAATCAAGAAAGGAATGCTAGCAGCAGTGATCGGTAGTGTTGGATGTGGCAAATCAAGTCTTTTGATGGCCTTACTTGGTATGTTTGGGATCATTTTATCACTCACTAGTGAAGTTTCTATTGTGTCTATTATGCTATTATCGCTATGCAAAATAATAGAAGATAGTTCTCTATTCAACACAACTTAACATCTTTCATTGAATGTTATGAGCAGGTCGTACAATTGGCTGCATCCAGAATTCATATCAGACGCTAATCGATGTTTGAATAAAACTGAGAATTCAGGTGAGATGCGGAAATTGAAAGGCAAAGTAAAGGTAAACGGCGACGTAGCATATGTCCCACAGCTAAGCTGGATCATCAACCAAACACTTCGTGAGAACGTTTTGTTTGCAAGGCAATATGAAAAAGACGACTACGACATTGTTATTGATGCATGTGCCCTCGGTCCCGATATTGACTCCTTGCAAAATGGCGATCTAACAGAAATCGGTGAAAAGGTGAATTCTATTTAACGAAACCGTCAAATGCCAAATTCATACCAGAACTCCTTTCATATGTAGCTGAAGCTAATGCAACCATCGCTAAACATAAACATAGTTAGCACTATCATTAATAAGCCCTTCAGTATTGCGCAAACCTTCATTTCACTCCATCCGAATAACTCGTTCATGATTGCAAAGTTGATATTAAATTCAGTTGAAAATCCAAAATTCAATTATCAGCACATGCAAATTTTTCAAATTCATGGTTTGTTGAAAAACAATAACATCATTAAGCGATCACGGAAGCGATGCTAATTCTAAGCAACACTGTTGAATGTCGTCAGCCAGATGATAGCTATAAAGGAATATTTTTTAGGGAATAAATCTGTCGGGTGGTCAAAAAGCGAGAGTGAGCCTTGCAAGAGCCGTGTACCAAGACTGTGATCTCTACTTACTCGATGATCCACTCTCTGCTGTTGATGCACACGTTGGAAAGAAGATTTTTGAGCATCTAATTGGTATGTGTGCCTGCCTACCCGAGATGCATTAACGAATTGAGATAAAATATGCACTTCGATCGTTTCGATCGAGCATTTATTGAACATTATTGGCGATTGTTGAATAATGAAACAGATTCAGTTGAAGAATATTAAGGTCCGCATGGACTGCTGGCAGATAAAACTCGAATTATGGTTACGCATGGTTTGCATTACTTGAAGGATGCCGATATGATAATTATTATGAAAGGTAACTACTCCGCTCTGGTCTCGAAGAAGACATCAGTAGTTTTGTAGATCAATCTTATCTGGTTTTCCAATAAATACGTTGCCCAATGCAAAGCACGAGACATCTAAACACCTCTCATTTTCTCTTCATGCGACTACTTGCACAGTTCCATAGTTTTGATAGATGGGATATTGCGAGTGTTAAATGAGGACATGCACTGACACAATGCTTTCAGACGGATACGTGATGAATACTGGAACGTATGCGCAACTTCAGGCGAACTCTGAAACGGCAGCTTTGATCGAAGCCGAAACGAAAGGTAACATTATTACTCACGGTCGTAAGATTCACGTTGAGACGTATTCAAAAACGTGAACACATTCATTTGAAGGAAGCAGTGCTGAAACGTCAAAATCGTCAAGCATTTGCGAAACCGTATCAACAGCTGATAATGAGGCCAATCATCCAGAGATAGAACCACAGACTCTCAGGAATCGCAAAAAATCTTCCATCAAAACAAATGTTCGCTTAACTGTTTGATTATGACTTCATCGAAAATGTTTCTTGGTTAAAGCTTTAACACATTTCTAAAAATAACATTTCAATTGAAATGAGCAAAGAGAATTATAATTTGCTTTCGTTTTACGAATAATAATTCAAATTGTTGTCAGATGTCAACAACTGAATCATCCAGCAAAAAACTGTTGGAAAATAAAACAGCGAAAGGCAGAACGACAACCGATGAAAAAGCGGAGAGTGGAAAGGTGCTTGAAATAAGTTGTTTGCTTCACTTCTGCAAAATCGTTACTTTGTCACATTAAAAATTCTTTTTTAAAAGAATATCAGCACTACAAATGTGAGATCGAATCAAGCAAAAATAAAGGAAAGTAACTGAATTTTACGAACTCTGAATCAAAATTATCGATAATAAGAAAAGCAAATTTTGCAAATTGCTGATTGTGAGAT